TTTCATTTCCACTATCTGTACACAGCCCCATTGTCTGGACTTTTTGATTGTACCCTGGAGCCAAATTTGAAATAAATTGAAACTGCTAATGGACTATAAAGCTATAAAGATATGAACAGGATTATAGAAGAGACGAAGAATTAAGACTAGCAGTGTGATCTAAATGCCATGCTAACATTTACTTGCAATTCCATATCAGCCCAAGTCTATCTGTAAGCAATTATATTACATCAGAATTTAATACTGGAAAATTTCAAAAAACCTTTAAAAACTTTAGATATAGAAAGGTACCAACATGTTGTAGATTACCCCAAAGTTTTTGCAAACAACTTTTTTTAGCCAATAGGGCATAATTAACTTTTTAGATCCACTTTTTAAAAGATAGGTCAAAATACAGCAGCAGCCTTCTAAGATGCAAGTGAAATAGTCTGTTAGCTCCACCATCTAAACAGAGACCAGTCAGTATCACTGATGCTAGTTAAATTCTCTCAATATTCTTTGAATAGCGCCATATCCACAGCTGGCATGATAGATGCTAGACCAGGGGTGTCAAACATAAGGCCCATCCAGGGCTCTTATGCAGCCCTCAAACAACTAGCACAAAACAGGAGACTACTGGGAGGAGGGGGGGGGAGCCAGACCAATTGTGGCTTCAGCATGGTGGAACAATCCCATCTGCAGCAGTCAAGCAGCATGGAAGCCTCTGCCCAGGGCTGCAGCACTGGCTCTCCAGGCCATCCATATGGGTTTTCCTCTGCACCCCCCTCCCAGCCCATGAGGCCTTGTAGTGAGGATACCACTTGGAGCTTATCAGCTGCCATCCTTTATACAGTTTATACCTCCGGTACCCAGCATTATAGTTTCTGGCACACATGGCCTGGCCCAACAAAGTGATATTTATATCAGATCTGGCCCTCGTAACAAATGAGTTTGACACCTCTGTGCTAGACCATTCCAAACAGCAGTTAAGGACTGCATCACAACTCATCTGTTGCCTATGAAAAACCTGTACAACTGCAGTGGTTTCATGTCATTTTATATCTGTTACTGTCACCTTTTCATGACGGTGTCATGAGTTGCATAACTGTGCCTTTCAGTTAATACTGTTGTACAACTGCATGGACACAGACAAAAAGTCATGAATTCAGAAAATCAGCTCATAAGGCTACAAGAAGCTTTAATTCTGGGAAGACAAAAAAAGCAGGGAAGGGTTGGGGGCAAAAGAAGGCTCAATATATAGTGCATAAACCCAAAGCAGCACATAAGTGCCAGAGGAGAGATGCCTGTTAGAATCCATTAGAAGTAATGTATGATTGAGAGCAGGACCGGCCCGAGGTGTTTCTGCACCCTAGGTGAGGCCAGCTTGTAGCACCCCCAGGTGATGCCAACCTCCCGGTGGGGCCTGGAAACCTCCCAGAAATGGGGGGGGGGGGCATCGGGCGCCACAAGCTAGCCTCGCCCCTGCCTGGGCCCAGCCAGGCTGCCCTTCCTGCCGGGGGCTTTAGCTACGGAGCCAGCGGCGGCTCTTTCATCCGCTGGGGGGGAAAGGGGGGAGTGCTCCACCCCGGGCAGCGCCGGCTGAAGCCCTGGAGGGCCCCGGTGGCCGGCCCCATCTCCTCCCATCGATCTTGGCAGCTCCGCAGGGCTGGCTCTAGACTCCGCAGCAGTGGGGAGAAGCCCGCTGTTGGGCCAGCCTGCCGGAAGAGGCCGCCGTCCTGAGCGGAGAGGCCAGGTGGGCGCACCAGCAGCAGGGGCACAGAGTCCCCAGAGGAGTGCGCCTCCCTCCCTCCTCACTTCCTTGCCCGCCCCCCCTCCCTCCCCACTTTTGTCCTGATGCTGCGGCGGAGGCTAAGCAAGCCGGCGGGAAGGAAGGGGTGCATTGTGGGCGCCCAGAAAGCCATGCTGGGGGCAGGCGGCCTCACTGCGCCCCTGGGAGGACTGTGCCCTAGGCCAGATACTAGTAGGCCTAGTGAGAGAGCTGGCCCTGATTGAGAGCCAAATATAGGTAATAATTTCCTGAACTTATTTCTTCGCTGTAGCCCTAAGACCAATACTCAAAACCAGTGAACTGAACTAATGGATCAAATGTTTCTGCACAAAGATGCTTATCTGTCCAACATGAAAGGCAATATCAAGAGATTACTTCTGTTTGAGCTATCACAGACATCAGGAGTACAACTCCACTCTATGTCAAAGTCAAAGAATAGCTCAATTCAACCAAGCCATAATTAAGGATTCACCACAGTTTGGTGTGGTCTGAACTGAAGTCATGGTTTGCCACCATGTATGAGGCAATGACCCACAGTTAACCACTGCCTCATCCTGAAAGCCCATAAATCAATATGTAATATGGAAAATAAAACCAGATAAGCAGCCCTATACCACAAACATGGTTTGATGTGATATGAATTAAACCAATATGTTTTAATGAAGACACCTGATATGTCTGGCTGAGAGTCATCAATTGATTGATGACTCTCACAACTAACTGACATTCATGCAGTTGTGCACTAGTCTAAGGAGTGATGAAGAAACCACATCACAGGTCATGGGATGTAATATTTTTTCCGTTTCCAAAAATGCACGCAAACTGGCTCATTATATCTGAAATTTCTATTTAGGATTTCACTCAATATGTTCTTCCTTGGATAACACGAAAAGAAAGGAATGGGCTGTTTTCATGTTGTGCTGCTCAGTGTTTGTCAAAACAGCTTGCCTGAAATTATTTGTTCCACTAGGCTATGACTTCTGCCTGCACTCTTCTACTTTGTATAAATGTACTTCAAAATGAACTCACGTGATGTTTGTTTTCTGCAGGATCTTTGACTATATGCTGGAACAAGTTGGACTTTGGAGTCCCATTGGTATTCAGAAGTAATGGGCTAACACAGAAAAACACATATTCAGTGAAGAAAGCTAGGAATATGGCTTCTGAAAGTGGCAGTTTAATGAAAAACTCATTTTAAAATTCCAAAAGTCATATGCATATTATACTTACCGTTTACGTTTTAAACTTACAAGCTGGTTATTCTGAACAAGGGTAACAATGAACTGTACAATCTGCAGAGAAAAATGTAAACAGGGCTTAAATTTACTATATCCATAAACACAAATTGCCATTCTTTTTCAAGATTAAAGTGAAATTAAGTGTAACATCTTCAGATAAACATCTAGAATACAAGTAGAATAGGAAGAACCATAAATGATATCTTCAATGAAGCAGCACTTCTTAATAAAACTGAATTTTTCAACATTGTCTGTCCAAATCATGTCTGAGAGGGAGATCATTCTAAAACTATCTTCCACATCCCATATTTTTCAAGTCCTACCGCTGCTAGTACCAGCTGATGATTTGCTCTTTAATCTACTAGTTTCTTCTGAAGCCATCTACTGTTTACCATCCCCAGCTTTTTTCTGGGAAAGACAGTACAGTTTTACACTTCTTCCAAATCCTATTCTTCTATTATAGAAGGAATTCCAATCCTGAATTGCAGAAAACAAGGGTAATATTACCTTCCGAATAACTTGCTGCTGCTGCAAATGTTTTGCTCTCAGTTCAGCTACTTCACGCCAAAGAGATTCATTTTCTCTGTTTAAAAATAATCAGACAACTAAAAATTAGCATACCTTGAATCTTTCTTTTAAATTATATTTCCTTGTAAATCACTACCAATGGCACAATTATAGAACTGAACTGGAAACTTTTTAGATTCTCAAAAAAACAAAAACAAACCCAACCACCAAAGCAAAGCACTACCCTTTCCTATTTTAATACTCCTTTTCTGCAAATCAAGTTATGCAAGCACAAGCCCCAACTTTTACATCAAATGTACCTTTTCAGAGCAGTGAGTCTGGATTCAATAGTTTCTTGTTTAATTTGAACTTTCTGAGCACTGGTTATGATTTTAGATAGGTCTTCCTGACGAATTTTGTTTTCCTCTGGTCTTGAAGAAGAAACCTGTAGAAATTACCATTACAAACATTAGCTGTCTACTTGAGGATTATTTGTTAATTACTTGATAACATTTTATGGCTATACAGCTGTGAAGTTTCCAAATACTGATGTGAACTTACCGTTCATACTCCATGTATGTCCGCATCCTCTTTCTAGGTAAGAAACAGTACAGTTTGCATAAGGGTAAAACTACTACCGTATGTAAAAAATTAAAATTAAAGGTCACCAATCTATATGCTGCTGTTGATGCACTAATGATAATACTTGAAAAATAGTTGAAAATGTTACTGCACTTTGATTTCTACTACTCACAATGAAGAAGACCTGGAGGAACATATGCATATTTGACGGCATAAAAATCAGTTGGTGTTGCCAGTCAAGAGCTGTTTAGCTCTTTAAAAAAATTAAAAAATAAAAGTGCTTTGAAAGCTATGAGAACGTTTTCTAACAATCTGAACACAGAGATGCAGGGGTCAAATGGTTCTGTAGAATTTGTCACTAACCTTTCTTTTAATGTGTTCTAATAAATCTTCCCGTCCTTGCTTGAAATAAGGGTGCTGGAACTCAACAGGGCCATCACGCTCCAATTTGACAATACCAGAGTCAACATGGACTACCTTTCGGAAACCATCTGAAAAAAACACAAATCAAACTATGCAGACATTACTGAATACTTGAGGCTACAACTCTCATCAGAACAAAAAAGCCTCCCCAATTCTGCAGTGATACAATAAAACAAGAAACTTGCCACCTTCATTCCCTCACACTATCCCTCCTAATAAACAATCCCACTCTGCTAAAAACTATCTTTTACCAATGGAACTATCCCAGGTGGATGCCCAGTCACAGGAGGATGTCTGAAGTCCATGCACAGTCTTTGTAATGGTGCCCTCTTTTGTCCTTCTAGTCTTAGAGGTACTAGATCTTTCTAAATAAAGAACAATCCATGTGGCTTTCAGTACACTGCTGTTTAACACAGAGAAACATGACGTTTGCAAGCATGGCATATTTTTTCTTGTAAACGAAAAGCCAAGTTATTGTAAAGCTGGATAAAAGAATGAAAGTCATGCATAGTTCTCAATGTATTGAACTGGGTACAAATATGGAAGGTACACACTGAGTTCTCCATCTCATTTCTACCTTTCAGCAATTTTGAGGCTAGAAAAGATGAAAGCCACACATGCAACTCTCATAACACAGCCCTGTGCAAAATCACAACGCAACACTATGGCAGCTGGTCTCTATCTGAGCAGCAGCTCTTGGCTTTAATTTACAAAACTTTGCTAGTAAATTCATATTTCTGATGTTCTTCTTAGACCAGGACATGAACTTGCCCTGCTATAACATAGATCAAAACCTGTGTACTCTGGGAGATACTATCATCATGACATTTGTTAATAATCACTGTCCTGCTCACGCTCTCAAAAATCTTATATTGTATAGATTTTCACTTGTCAGAACTCAAAATAGATCTCTGTGCATGGGTGCAGCTGTAAGGGCTATTCCTTGTTTTGAATTCATTATCACACAACATCAACCGTCTTTCCATTGAATTCTGTTTTGAGAGATACAGCATAAGTAGTTCTCAGCTTGTATTCTGCTTGCTTCCGTCATATGACATCTAAGTGAAAGACTTAGTGCTGCATGTATTATAACTCAGTGATCATAGGAATAGGTAGATTTGAGTAACAGGTAGAAGCTATTAATGCAAGAGATAAAAGCTCCTGGAATGTTTACTAGATTTCCCTTAGTTCTAGCTTGTTAGGCAAAACATCTATATTTATTACTGCACAATGTTATAGAACTTACACATATTTAGTTGTCTCACAAAACTTGCCATGTTGTTGTGCTTGAAGTACTTTGGAAGAATCTCTTTTGCAAATCTTTGTTCATCCAACACAAGGAAACTCTGGCCATTCTGAAATTAAGATTATGCACAATTATAGTAGTTCAGCTATAGCAAACAATTTCTCAACCCTAACCAATCACCTCCCAAACAGTGTGCCCTTTAAGCTGAGTTTGTGTGAGCTAGCTCACAGTTTTTAAGCTTCCAGCTCACACATTTTTGTCTCAACTCAGGAGGGGAAGGCTCCAGAGCAAACTAATTTATGCAGTAGCCAAATGCTCACCCACAACTTTAATGCCAGTAGCTCACAAAGTAGAATTTTTGCTCACAAGACTCCACAGCTTAGAGGGAGCATTGCTCCCAAATAGGTCACCAGACTAAAAAAAATGCCTCTAAATACAATCAGAATTCAAACTGGTGTCAGGGACAGAGGGTACAATTTGTTAAACGAGTACTGGAGACAGTGCAATATTTGGTGCAATGTTTTTAAATTCTTTGTTTTAATGAACTATTTATTATTGTGTTTTTGTGAATGGCCTAATTATTTGTTTTGATCTGCCCTGAGCCCATTCGTGGGGAGGGTGGGATATAAATTTGAAAAATAAATAAATAAACTTGGTACAACCCCAAATTGAAGTGTTTGTAGATGTCTATGGGAATACTACTGAGCAATTTCTAACCTGAAAAAGATACCACTACGAAAAGTCAAATCTTTGAAACAGAATCAAGAAATAACCAAAGAATAATCATACAGTTTAAAGCAAGAAAAGCAAATGAACAATTCAACACAGTAGCAGAAGTCAAGAAATGTGTCTACAAAAATTTCTTCAAGTGCCCAACACCATACTTTTTTGCTTTCTCTATAAAATGGGTTGTCCCTTTAATCTGTAGACCTTATCTGCAGAACAATGGCAGGAAAAGAAGAAACACAACACTGGAAAATTAACAAAAATAAATTTAAAATTCCACTTGGGTAAATTGTTACAGAGATGTGGAAATACTGTCTATGTTGCTGAAAATTACTGGAGCACATTTATTTTGCCATTTTTAAAAACAACACCACCACCCTGAATACTTTTAATAATATTTTAACTGACTGCCACATTTTTCTTCAGCTCTTCCTGAGTCTGCAGGGTCCTCTTTTGACTCACTTCTAGTTCAAAATGCTTATGAACACTAGAAAGGCTATGCAGACAGATCTAGTGATCTGTGGTTTCAAAAATCATGGTTCCTTCCTACTTTCTCCCTCCTTTCTGGTCTTTCCAGCCCGTGTGGAACACCAGCCATGGGAGAGAGGGGGACAAGCTCCCCATCTACATGGATCTCAGCCTATACACGTTCAGTAAACTTTCTGAGAATCAAAAACAAGGGGGGAGGGGATGCAAGAAAGGTCCACAACCATCAGCACCATCCGCTAACAGATCATTGACTCCAACCTAGAATTCTGAAGAGCACCAACATACAGAAAAGCTAGTCTTGTACTGCCCATTTTGACATCATGTCATGTTACTATTACAATTATATAAGCAAACCAAATGAAGATGAGTCCTTATGTCACTGAAACAATGACAGCCGGCACGAGCTGTAACTTGGGAGATAGTAAGATCATTTACCACTCATGGGAGTTTGTGGCCCTGCAGGGCTCCTGGACTTTATGAGGCACAAGTGGAGACCCACAAGTTTATCCCATTCCTCATACCTTTGCTTCCTTCCCTCTTGTATAGGTTTCTGCCCCTCAAGCCTATCCACGAATGAGAAGGGAATCCTATACTTTTCCAATACATTAACAACAACTCAGAGAGGCAGACTACCTTCTCTGGATTTCAGAACAATATGCCACCAGAATCCCTTTTTAACTAGTCCCGGCTTTTCCCCAAGGGAGGGATTCCAAACCTTTAGGCTAGCCTCTGGGACAGAAGACACTAGCACCTCCTCAGAGATGCACCCTTAATGCTTAATGGTAGCGTGTGTGGTCAGCGTTCAGGCTGTAAGATTTAGGCTGGGAACTCAGTTACAACATCAAAACAAGTTAGAAACCAGAATACGTTTATTCAGTACAGAATTTAGCATAGACCAGAAGGATTTCAAAACAAGAAAGGCTAGGGCAATTTGCCTTAACTAAACAGTCCAAGGACGTATTTACCAAGTCAGGAGCAATTATCAGTCCAGAACAGTCCATTGTGATAATCCAGTAGCACCAAGGGATCTTCCTCCAGGGATCCCATCTTGTGCAAGCATGTGCTCAGCTCACCAAGCAATCCTTTGTTCTCCCCTAGACGGCATGGCAGGACAGCATTTCAAGTGTCCATCAGAGAGCTCACAAGCAGGAACAGAGAGAGCTCTCTTCCAAGGGATCAGACAATTAAACCCCAATCTAATCATGACTAGCTGTGGCCATCAGCCAATCAGGAGTAGCAGGGGGTGTGGCCAATTTTTTGGTCGTCATGGGTACAAGTAGGGACAGGCTGGGAGTCTGGAAACCACGCCTGCAGTCAGGTGACTCCCAAACTCCAAACTTCATTGCATACTGCCTGAGGTCTGCCATTTGGCATGAACGTGTGAAAGAATGTGGGTTTATGGCATGCTATTGAGGCCATTTGGCTTCAACAGGAAATACAACACAGCAGGGTATCAGCAAGACATCCCAGGGGAAGGCAGTGGCTTTTAGAAATCAATATTTCTATACACCTCTCCCCCTCCCTCTCTCACACTATTTCTCCCTTCTGCCCCTCTTTCCTTGCTCTCTATCTCTCCTCCATGCTTGTGACTTCCTATGTCTTTCTGACCCATCGTTCTCTTTGTTTTTCTGCCTCCCCACCTCAACACTCTT